GCACCGCCATGGGGATGGCTACCGTGTTGTCGCTCCGCCTGATCTGTTGGTGTAAGGTCGCTGTGAAACTCGAGCAACTCGGATTGCTGAATGGCTGTGGGTTTGGAAAGCTCTGTTGCCTGATGGGCCGTGTCCAGAGTTCGGTGGGGGAAATGTTTATAGAATGAGCAATCAATCCGCGTTCAGGGTGGTGTATTTAAGAGATGTTTATTTCATTGATCTTGCCTGTAGAAGGGGAATGGTAATGAAAAATACATAAGGCTGTGTACTGAAAAAAAGCCTCTCGAAAAACAAGGTCCCAAATTCTTTCTCCTGTTGAAATTTACCCTAAAGCATTTGTTGCGGTTCTTCTGTTTGCTAGAGTCTACTTGTATAAACTGCTAATTGCCAAAGACAAAACTTTTGCCTCATTACTGCAGCTGATCTTCTTCACATTTTGACCTGTGTGTATTTTTTTCAGTGCATCCGGAATGTGTATACCAGCAAAATTATTAGTAGTGACAGGGACCAGTTAAGCGTTGTGTTCTATGGTACAGAAAAGAACAAGAACTCGGCAGATTTCAAGCACATCTATGTTCTTCAGGAGCTGGACAATCCAGGTAAAGGCAGTAAAGTGACATGAAGGTTATGTAGAAAGATGGAGTAAGGAAGTCTGTGTAGTAGCATTGTCAGTAACTGGTCTCTCTGAAAACAGAGAGCTGTCAGAGAAACAAAAAAAATCCTGTTACTGAGATGCATTGGGGGGGGATAGATTTAGAAATTTATTGAAAGCTTAGAAACTTAGTGGGCGCTTAGCTTTTTCTGTTACAGCTGGTGCAGATCCCTTTCCTATTCTTCTATTTTAACGTTGTGGTTCACTTGCTGTCTGCTAAGCCTAAGAGGATCTCAACAGAACTCTTGAAAGCCCATCATGTGTCTGCCGCACTTTAGAAGAGTGCGTGTACATGCCAAGGCACCACAGATTCCAGCTGATGGAGAATATCACAGAATGGCTGAGGTTGGATGGGATTTCTGGAGGTCATCTTGTCCAACCCTCCTGCTCGAGCAGGGTCAGCTAGAACAGGTTGTCCAATATTGTTAACCTGTTTGGGGTGTTACATCTCTTACTATCACAATAAGTTTTGCAGTTCTTGAATTTAGTGCTTCCATTTTCTTAGAATTTCTTAGAATCCTAGCATCTGCTTGATAACGAGTGCCAGTTGCTGAATTGGAAAAGGTAGTAGGAGGAGTGCAAAGAATGCATGCTAGTGGTGACAAATTCTCTGACAGCGGAGAGTCTTGTGGGGGGATTTTGTCTACTAGCTTTTAATAGCTGCCTTTATCTCTGAGGAGGTTTGATTTAATTTTCTTAACCAGGAGGTGCAGGTTTAATAACACATGGGGTTGTCCTGAAAGAAATGTGCCTTGTCCTAGTTTCAGAATTAATTACAATGGGGACCTGACAAGACTGCCCTAGGTTTTTCTATCTTTTCTGGTAGCAAGTGCCTTAGGCTTCTTGCTCATCCTTTTTCCTCCTCCTTTCCTGCTTGCCCTTTTCCCTGCGTTAGAGGAAGTAGCTTTGCCATGCTGATAAAGACAGTGGAGGTGAAAGGTGGGTGTTGTTAAAAAGGAAGAGGATTGTATATTTGCTGCCCCTGGAGAGCAGTGTGTTTTGGAGAAGGAAGAAAGACTGTAGTCAGTTATTATGTAGTACATAAATTATGACCACTTATGCTGTTAATTAAATGACAGCTGAGGAGATGAAAGTAAAATAGTAAACGGGGGGGGGAAGACATTTTCAGATGAGATTTCAAAAGTGCTATAGAATTTGAGTGAAGGACAAAGGAATTAGCTCTGCAGAATGCAGTAGCTGAAAAATGAAAGCTTGTCTCCTTTTGTAGAGTTATGGGAGAAGACAAAGAATCTGCTATTAGACAAGTGGGGGCTGGAGTAATCTGCAGAGCTTTAAAAAGGTCATTGATACCTGCCCTGAATGTTGCTGTGCTCCGTGTGGTGATCTATGGGCTGAATCTGACCTCTAGGTTGATGCTATCTGGCATGTGGGGCAAGGGAGCAGGAGGAATTCTCCACCTTCCCAACGTGCCGTGGAGATGCAGGATGTATTTTAGCCTCTTCTGCTTTCTCTGGTGGCGCGGCAGTCTGCTGTGCCTCTGCAGTGGGTGCAATTGCTGCCTTTCCTGCTGAGAACTTGTCCTTTCAGCGTAGAGGGTTTGTGATACTTTGATCCCTGCCTGTTTCCCTCTCCCAGCAGGAAGGTGCCAGGGCACCTTGTGTCCTCTTGGCCCTAGTAGGTGCTTTCAAGTGGTAACTGGCTTGCAAGATTGCAAATGTTAGGCTGTCCAGAACAATTTTCTCAGCTAGGTGTTGGAAGGGCACCGCTACAGAGGTGCTAGGGGACATTACTCAGACATCAGCTGCAAGGGACCCTCGGTGCATGTTTAGAAGAGTTTGCAGTACTTCTTTTAGTATTTCTAATGCACATGAATGCTGTTCTCGCCCCTAGGTGCAAGGCGTGTTCTAGAGCTGGACCAATACAGGGGAGACGAAGGACGAGTACTTTTCCGTAAGACCTTTGGCCACAATGCTGACTATTCACTGGGCGAAGCACTCTGGGCCTGCTCTAATCTCTTCAGTGATGTCCGAGTCAGACTGAGCCACAAAAGGATCATGCTCTTCACCAACGAGGATGACCCTCATGCCAATGACAGTGCTAAAGCCAAGCTGGCCAGGACCAGAGCTGGTGATCTGAGAGACACAGGTCATTATTTTCCCCTTTAATTTCAGGCGGAATAAAAGTGATGTATCCTTGCAGCAGATATTAACTGCATTGCAAGTTTGTGATGGAAAAAGAATGTAAAATCACCAGAACTGGGGAATCTTTCTGAAGCTTTCTAAATTAGAAATTTGGTATCTAATCTAAATTAGAAAATCTGTTATCCAGTCTGGTATCCAACAACTAACACTTATTTTCTAGGATCTCTTTTTCTACTCTGATAGCATAAATCAGGACTTGAGAGGGCTGTGGAAAACAAACTCTACTTTATTTCATCGTTCCACCATTTTCCAGGAAGGGAATAATAACGCTAAGTTAACATAAAAGGAAAATTACTTTAATGGCTCCATTTTGAATTAGCTGAAGAACAGCAACCTGAGCTCAGAGACTAGAGAGCAAACGCTTCATTATTTCAATTATGTAGCTGAGATAACCGGTGTTTCTGGAGTTCAACAGATGTGCTGGATCAAGAAGCTGTGAGGCTTCCTTAATCCATTAGCCCTTATAACCGGGAAAGGGGAATTTCCGAACTCATTACTTCCCTCTATGCCTGAGGTAAGATTATGTTTTATAGGAGCTTGTCAGAGCTGTTTCATACACAACGTTGTCCAGATTCTTAATTAGGGAGGAAACATTTCCTATGCTATGTTGTTTTGACTGAAGTTGAAGAATGTCTTCTTTTGCCTCTTTCCCTAGAAACTTCCACATCTGCTGCAGATGACAATTTGGAGCTTATTCTTGCTTAAATTCTTTGTTCAGATAGAGAAATCTGAGAGTGCTGAGAAACATGCCAATGTAAGAAAAAAGCAGTTTCTGTGATCCTCCTCCTATCTCTTACTCTGTTTCTAGGTATCATCCTGGACTTGATGCACTTGAAGAAGCCTGGAGGGTTCGATATCTCTTTGTTCTACAGGGATATCATAAACATAGCAGAGGATGAGGACCTTGGGATCCAACCTGAGGAGTCAAGGAAACTGGAAGATCTCATGAAGAAAGTACGAGCAAAGGAGACAAAGAAACGGACTTTAGTCAGGTTTGTGCCTGGTTATGATACTTCATTCAGTGGAGGCACGTGACGTTATCTTTAGACTGCATCTCACCTTCCTCTTCTGGAGTGATTGGTCTATAAAGGCATCAATGCATACATTCCTCAATCTTAATTCCTTAGTCCAAGATTGCTGTTTCTTCCATAGCTTCCAAGGATATTTGTCCTTGGTGGATGAGAAGAGATGAGAGTGAAGCCAGGCTTCCTTTTTTTTCTCTGTGTTACATCTCCTGTATTGAGCTTGGCCAGAAATTATCGTTTTTCAAAAAATGACATCATTGCTAAGTAAAATACTTACCAAAAATCTGCAACATGTAAAATGGTTAGTTTATAGTGAAATCTGATTGAAATTAGGCTTTTCTTACTAGTGTTAACTTAGAAAAATTCCATCTCGATGTGACTGGTAGGTATTTTGGCCTATTATTAAATAGTTATATGTGGCCAGTCTGTCTAGGCACTTGGTGTGGATTCACAGAGCCTTGTTTCTTCTGATCTCCTGCTGAAAGATTAGAGATACTTACAGAGAGATTAAAGGGATCTTGGCAAAGCAGAATAGAAAATATTTTTGGGACCACATACTCTGTAACAGTTGGGTTTTTTAGTGAGTGAGTTCATAGCAGAATGATGTGGAAGCACAGTAAGGGAATGAACTTCACAGCCTAGTGTTTTTTTAATATATATTAAAAAAAAAAAAATCCCAACCTGAGCTGTTGTCCCTGGCATTCTTGCTCCTGCTCACGGCTTTATTTTCCTCTTCTGGGAATATTCCTCAAGTTTTCTAATAATTGAGGAGGAAGAATCTCGTACCAGTGATACCTTTTAGAGGAGAGGAAGTAACATTCACAGTAATTCACTGTTCTGCTCTCAGAACTTGAAGGTTACCCCCAATTGTAAACCTTTACTTCTGAATTTTTCTCTAGCTTCCGATTAATTTTTTTCTTAAATCGTGGTCTTGTTTATCTTGATGGGGTTCTTTTGTGGAATTTTGCCTTCTGTGTGAATTCAGAGGTCACATTGCATTAAGCACAAGTGGGGTGCCCAAATGTGAACTTGTCCTGTGCTCTGCTTGAGCATAGCTGCCCTTCAGAGTGAAAAAAGGTGGAAGAAATATGGTAAATTATTTGTGTTTAAATCATTTTTATGACCAGAAGTGACAGCATTGCAAGAATGGTTTTTATACAAGTGAGATTATTACTCAAGTAATAGTACGTTTCCAGAGATACATGTGATTTCCGGGGAGGAGAATAGGAGGAGGTCAGAGAAAGTAAGTTATCTGAGGAGATTACTTTCTTTTGCAGAAGTCATCTTTCGGAAGTCTCAAGTCTGTATCTGCTTTTTTACACAGGTTAAATCTGTATCTGAGCAAAGATCTGTCGCTTTCTGTTGGTGTTTACAACCTTGTTCAAAAAGCTTATAAGCCGTATCCGGTGAAGCTTTATCGGGAAACTAATGAACCAGTTAAAACAAAAACAAGGATGTTTAATGGAAAAACAGGCAGCTTGCTCCTGCCTAGTGACACAAAAAGGGCTCAGGTAACGTATTGATTATGTGCCTGCTTTTTCCTGTCTCTGTGATGTGGGGGGGAGATGCTGATTCTCTTGCTGCTTTTGTTTGTATTTCACTTTCAAGATCAGATGCAGAAATATTTACATCTGTATGCCCCTGGGGATAGCCTGGTCACTTTGTAAGCTATGCAGAGTGAGAGTGGGTTGTTTCTCTGGCATGACTGTCAAGGGAAAGCACAGCCACTGGTGGAAGTGCACTCAGGAACACAGGCCATTTCTTTCTGTAAGGCAGAACCAGGTTGTCAGAGCCTGACCTTATGTGGCCCTGTGCTATCACTGCTGGTCTTACCTTGATTCATGAGGAACAGATTTTGTCCATTTTATTAAACATACAAGTGTGAATCACAGGGGGGGGTTGGAGCTATTTTCCACACAAAGAAAAGGGCGTATTACCTTTGTTTTTTGTTATTTTGTTCTTTGCTTTGCCTTCCTGCTTGATAGTTTGGCTGATGTAGATTAAATGTCACATTCTGTTCGGGCACAGCCTTATTTCAAAGCAGGATATACAGTTGCTAGGTATATTGTCACAAACGCACTTCGTGTGTCCTTCCATGCCAAAGGCTCTTAAAGATGCTGTCTTAAGATTAAATATTAAGTTTATTTATACTGGACATTAGTTTCTCAAAATAAAGTACAGGAGATGAACAGAAAGCTGAGCATTAAGTCCTGATGTCTAACTTCAGCAGCTGGACTATAATATGTTAAATATGTAAACATATGTATAATAAGTTTTTGTTTTTGTGACATATGAGTGATGCTTCAAAAGCATTGTTTCTCGGTCACTGTTTCTGCCAGGAGTAGGTAGCTGATGTGCATCTGCTGAAGCAAGTTTAGAAACAGACAGGACCTCTGAAAATGTCTGCTCCAACCGACCCCAGAGCAAGACTCACAAAAGCAGATCAGGTGGCTCAGGGTTTGTTTGGGACAGCTCTGAAGAACTCCAAGGATGAGATGTGACAGCCTTTCTGTGCCACCAGGGCTTAACCATTGTCTTAGGAAAGTGCATTTTGCTAATGTCCAGGTGGAATTTCCCTTGGGATGATGGTCACAGACACTGACTTGCCATTTCAGCGTGCACTAATGATGAGAGTTTGCTCTGTCTTGTCTATAACCCTCTTTTCAGTAGTGGAAGACAGCAATTGGATCCTCTTCCTGCCCCCTCACCCCTGCAATTTTTTTTAATGCTGGCAGCACTACTATCTGCTCTTCCCTGGTTTAGACATATGGAAACCGCCAGATTGTGCTGGAGAAAGAGGAAACAGAAGAATTAAAACGGTTTGATTCTCCGGGCTTGTTTCTGATTGGCTTCAAACCACTTTCAATGCTAAAACAGCACCACCATATCAAGCCTGCCCAGTTCATCTATCCTGAGGAGTCCCTAGTAAGTGGTAAGTAAAGATGGCGAGAGAAGATTCACCACCTTGCATTAGGGTAACCAGCTGATTCATAGTGTGTTTGAGTGGGGATCATCGAGTGTAAAATCTTTGTCTAACTTAAAAACTTGCTAATGTTAAAAAGTACAGAATTAACTGTTACTGCCCCCTCAGCTGCAGTTAATTCTTGTTTCCTTCAATAGCAGAAGAGCTGATTGGGCTTCATGTTTCATCCGTCATGATAAGCAGCTAATCAAACTATGCAGATGTAGTCCCAAAATATTTGGTTTTGTCATTCATGAAAGTGAAGGATCCTAGTACCTGACAAGAAGGCAAAGGTGGTTAAAAACAAACAAACAAACAAACAAACAAACAAACAAACAAACAAACAAACAAACAAACAAACAAACAAACAAACAAACAAACAAACAAACAAACAAACAAACAAACAAACAAACAAACAAACAAACAAACAAACAAACAAACAAACAAACAAACAAACAAACAAACAAACAAACAAAAAACAAACCCCAAACTGGTGAAGATAATTGCTGTTTTTAAGTCCATATCAGCTAGGAGTGGAAACACAATACTCGGGAAGTACGGTTGAATTAACAGCGCTTTATGGGCTCGTAAAGAGAGGAGAGGATGCTTAGTACTGCTTTTTCTCCCCTTTTTAATGTGTATATGTAAATCTGCTTATCTAGAAATACAGTATTAATCCATCCCAAGCTGCAATAGTAAAGAAAAAAACCTCCAGCTCCTCAATCTAAGGGTGGGTAAAGAGGGCTGAGTTATGACCAGACGCTTTGCCGTGTCTGACTAAAGAAGAATTTGTATGCTAGCTTCTCCAGCTTAGCAGTTTCCTGAATCAAACACCTTACTTATATGTCAGTCTTTTCCCAACCACCATATCTGGTAAAATACAAAGCAAACATGTGCCTCAAGAGAGGAATATTGCAATCTGAATTCTTGGTGTGTTACTTCTGCAAAAGGTCCTATGATGTGCTGCTACTATGATGTCTCACCAGACCAGAAAGAGGCTTTGTAGATACCCGTTTCCAATTTTCAACTGTATTTCATTGCTCAGAGGCTAGTGATTTCATTTCTTTCACCAGAACCCTCACTGCTCTGGTCAGGAGAGACACTAACATTGTCATTTTCGAGGGCTTCCCCTTCCAAAAGTTGCTTTTTACCTCTGTAATGTTGCAACCATCTCAAAGAAGTCACAGGTATTGAAACTAATATCTAGGGTTGCATTCTTGAACAAAGGAGCAAAGCTGTTAATCTGACCAATGCAGTCTTTACTTTGCAGGGAGTACAACGCTATTTAATGCCTTATTGATGAAATGCTTGGAGAGGGAGGTGATGGCACTGTGCAGATACACCGCCCGCCGGAACACTCCCCCTCGCTTCGTGGCCCTGGTTCCCCAGGAGGAAGAGGTGGATGAGCAGAAAGTGCAGATAGCCCCTCCAGGTATGGGAAGAGATGCTGCCTTTCCCTGCGCAATGGGATGCAGTCAGCATAATAGCCTCCTGTATTGCGTAAAAATATTCTTGGTGCTGCTCCCCTTAAAACTGTGGAGAGTGCTTTCCAACATCCCTTTTCTTCAGTTTTGTCATTCTAAGCATCTGGTCTTGAATCTATTTTTAAAACTCCAGTTGCATCAGTGCTTGCTCGGGTGTAACGTGGCTACAGTATTTTCCTGCCTCCTGCCTTTTTTTAGCAGATTCAAGTAACTGACCTAAAAATTAAAAGCCTTTTTTTCTGTTTGCTGACTGGGCGGAATGTCTTTCCCTGAATTTTATGTATCCTTGGATACAATGTTAAAGCCTTAAATAAATAATCTCACATACTGAGCCTCACACCATAGCAGCTGAGTGGGGAATGATCAGGGAGCAAAGGCAGACTCTTGCTCTTTTCCATTTTCTCAACTCTTTAACTGGAAAATCCTCTTCTGGGAGGGATGTAAAGTAGGGGAATAACGCTGCTTGTGTACAATGTAAAGCATTTCAGAAATAAAATGTGGGCATTAACTTAATTTTCAAACAAGCCTTTTTCAAGTTCATATCCAGTGAGAGATGGGGAAGGTGCACAAGTTGATCTCCTGTATAAAAAGCAGGTGACAAGTTTCCAGCTCTTAGCTATGCATTTAGTTTGACTCTCTTTCAGAAAGCCATTAGTGATGCTGGTTATATAGATTGAGATTGGGATTGAGTGTCATGCTGTAGGTACTAGGGGGTATTATGGATTGCTGTTGTTTACAGCAAAATAGTAGCTAGTTTGGGGAGTCATCAGACCTGGCTAATAAGCATCTTGGCCTTTCCCATAAATTATTGTTTTGAGGCGATGGTTCTGTATAACTGTTCTCTGCTCTCTCTCTTCTGTGTAGGTTTCCACATCATTTTTCTACCATACGCAGATGACAAACGGAATGTTGATTTTACAGAAAAGGTGCCAGCCAGTCGAGAACAGGTGGACAAAATGAAGGAAATAATTCAAAAACTCCGATTCAAATACAGGTACATGGAGATAAATAGTGTGTGTGGCGGGGGGCGGCATGGGGAAGAAAACACAATGCTATTGCTTGCTCTGTTGCATACATTGTTCAGCTGTGGTGACCACAAGATAGGATTTTGATGCATTTTGACGCAAATTGCTTCCCTTTGCAGTAGCTTTGTCCAAACTTTATTCTTAATTATTCTGAATACCCAGGCACCACATGCAATATGTAGCATGTTCTGGAGTTCTTTATAGAATTGCTCTTGTTCTCTGGGCTGTTGTCATTTGTTGCAGAGGTATCACATTTTATTGTGGTTCTGCCAATCTATTGCAGATCAGACCTGGATTGTTTAAATTAGAGCACTTTAGAGAGAATAGTTAGGCCTTTTTCGTTATAGATAGGATAAATTTTATGAAGTGCTTTTATGAGAGATTTTTTCCTAGGTATGTGGAAAGTAGCATAACTGGTATTAAAGTAGAATGCCCCTGTCTCCATTTGCCTCGCACAGCTTTCTAAGTCTCACACAGCTTTCTAATGTGGTTGATGCATGGCAGGATAGTGATTCAGCAGATAAACTGAAAAGAGGAAAAGCAGTTCTTCCGATGAGATGGATTGTTATGTGGGAAAGAGGGAAGTTTTACTTTGAAATAGATTGGTGGCAGATCTTATGTGTCTTGTCTGTCTTCTTGGCAGCATGCATTGACATTTTGGGGGATTCTTGGCAGGACTGACAGCTTTGAGAACCCAGTTTTGCAGCAGCACTTCAGGAATCTGGAGGCTTTGGCACTGGCTATGACGGAACCAGAACAAGCTGAGGATCTTACAAGTGAGAATTATTGGTGGGTGCGAAGGGAGGTAGGGTAGAGGGCTCTTGACTTTGTTCAAGTCAGAGATGTGCTATGACAAAACCAAATGTCTTTTAAAAAGTATTTTAGTTGTGCGCAGTTCCAAGATGCAGAATTCTGGATGTGTCCATTCTGAAATATGGAAACCTTACTTTCTAATGGTGTCACTTTTAAGACAGAGGAAAAAACGATCACTTTACCTTCCATAATTAAAATTGAATCACCTTTTTTTCTATGGTGACAAATGTTTTCTCTGAAATTCCTCTCTTCAAGAATCTAATTAATATTTCAGTCTGATAAATGGGCAGAATTGCTTAGAGAATTGCTCTGTTAGGAGGCAATGATGCCACCTTGTGGCTGTGAGTTTCTATATAAGAATATCTTGTCAGACGGTAGAAACCTACTCCTGAAGGGGAAGTTCCTTTTTTAAAATTATGTTGTATTCCAGGAATAGCATTAGAGTAACTATTTGTCTCTTCTGAAGTGATACCTAAGAAATAATCTAGGTCCCTTGTGCTAGATACCATACAAATACATGACAGAAGCAAGCTGTTCTGCCTCAAACTACTCGCAACCTTAGATAGTAACCTGTTGTATTTTAAATGTCTGAGATTAGACCAGGGTAACAGTTCAGTCAGGCCGGAGATCTTCTGTATCGCTTCCACCGTGTCAGTTTTGTTCTGCGTATGTATTTCCTGTTCAGGGATACGTGGGAGTCCATTACATATGTATAATACAAACTCTTGATATTACCAAGAGCTGTAAATTTCTCATTTGTGAATATCATAACATAGGTCTTTGCATTTTGCATGCTTGCAAAACACTTGCATGCTAGTTATTACAGAAGCACAACTGTATCTGGTCATGGCCTTGTTTAGACTTTCCTGTGATCACTCTGTTTCTGAGAGGGCAAATCTTTCTCTTTTGCCAGTGCCAAAGGCTGAAGAGATGAACCGCAGGCTGGGCAACCTGGTGGAGGAGTTTAAGCAGCTGGTTTATCCCCCTGACTACAGTCCTGATGCGAAGGCTGTAAAGCGAAAACAAGGTAAGTAATGACGGTGCAGACATGCAACATGGTGTCTGTGTTCTTTGTTGACAGGCTTCTGCGTTTTCAGTTTGTCTCACAGTTTAAAGAAGCTGCTTGTGCAATAACTCTTTACTCATTTCCATAACAAAGTGGACTTATATCCAGCGGTGATTCTTAGACAGTAGAGGATATTGTGGTACCCAGCTAGAGACCTGCTGGAATGAGAAACTGCATAGTGAAAAAACAGGGAAGTATAGGAAGCAATGTGTAAAATACTTATTTGTTTATTATTATTTTTATCATTATCATTATTAATAACTTTGTTTTTTTTACAACAGAGTAGTGAAATCGTTCACGCTTTCAGTTTGTGTTCTGGGTGAGGAAGCAGACTTTTATGCATGGGCTGTTTAGCAAGTCCAAGATAGGCATCTTTAGGGCTAAATGTCTAAGTAATGCTGAAGTACATGTATAGTTTGGGAGTCTATGAAACTCTGCATGAAGTGGGAGTATCAGTTAGCTGAACTCCCTGTGGAATAGTTGCATTCTCCTGTCTAGATGAGAATACCTTAAAAGTTTCATTTGGGGGTGATCTTTCCATCAGAACACAAAGTTTCATACTTGAGTTTGAGATCACTCATATCAATGAAATATACTATATGACTCACTATATAGTGAGTGACACCTCCTTCAGAAAACAAAATACGGAAACTAGGTCTGTGAGTGTGTAGGTAGGTGTTAAAGTACCATGTGCTAATGGCCATTAACTGTGGTATGTATAAGAAACATTGATGTCTTTCTATTAAGAAACTTTTTTAAATCTTGGTGATCTAAAATTTATCTTTCTAGCTTCTGATGGTCAAACCGAGAAGAGGCCCAAGGTAGAAGTCTCAAAAGATGAGCTGTGGAGTCATGTGCAGAAGGGCACTCTAGGCAAGCTCACTGTACCTGTTCTGAAGGACGCATGCAGGCTTTATGGGCTGAAGGGTGGGGGGAAGAAGCAGGAGCTCATGGACGCGCTAACTGAATACTTCGGTGAGCACTAAGCAGGAGCAGAAGGCCCTGGTTGACTTCCGTCTGCTTAAAGTTTTGGTTGTCTTATGTGGATGCTGCGTCTGTTTAATCTTGCTGTGGAGGAGAAGGCAACTAAGTGTTGCTGAACCTAGCAGCGGAGAAACTTTTTACTTTTAGTTGTGAAACATCTCTGCAAAGTTGGATTCTCTTCACAGTAGCCAAAGGCAGAATTAAATTCCCTGCTAACTCAGGTCACCCACTGCAAGTAAACACAGTTGTGCCTTCCTGGTTTCTTAATAAAAGTTATTTTGGACTTCTTAATTTGCAACACTGGTTATACCATCTTTGCATCATAAAGACAGCAAAACTCACTTCAATGTGAGTAAGAAAACAGAATGATCTGTGTTAATGGCACTGCATGAGTTCAAGCAGCAGGTCAAGTCTGTATGCTAACAGGGTATAAACGTGGTATATTACTCTCCTAATCTCCAAAACAGCCAGTCTGTATCAGTACTTGTAATCAAATTGGGTTCTTTTCCATCATTGACGTTACAAAGATTGCCAGCAGATCATAAAGGAGAAAATCATTACTGGGAAGCAGTAGCCAATCCTTTGGGCAAAAAGCCAGCACTTCACAAAGCTGCACAGCCAGGTCTTCCATTTTTAAATGGTAATAGCAAAAGCTGGTTTAAAAAAGGGGGGAAAAAAAAAAAGCCATGTTCCCTGGAAGGCTGCAAGCACTTACCCAATTAAATTACTGAGATCGTATAGAGCTTTTCCACCTCTGTAGCAAGTATGAGTCAGACTATTGTGCAGGCTTCTGTACTCAAATCTGTGCTTTAAAAATAAAAAAAGAGCAAGTTGTGGAGAGTAGCCCTTGTTACTTCCAGTATTTTTATTTTTTTAATCATACTTAATGGAGGCTGCATCTGGGCCTGTCTATGTTTTCGTTTTTAAACTTTCACACGTGGCATGCTGCGCTTGTCTTGCAGTGCAAGATGATTAAACCCAACAGTCATTGCCCTTGCCGTAGAAAACAGTACTAATTGTTTAGCTAAACTGTAACTTTCTATGGGATGTAAACATGGGATACATGAGGTATCCATTTTGGTCTGTGTGGTGTTTTTTGGGATTCTTGTGTTTGGCACACAAACTATTGGGCAACTTATCGAAGAATTAAGTCATATATTAAGGTCGGTTGTGCCCATGCTGTAGTGTGGCACACATATTGGAGCCAGCTGTGAACGCTCTTGGCACTGTGACCACCCTAGCTGTGCCAGCAAGCTGCTCACTTCCACCTCCACAGCCCCTCTCAGAAGAGCAGCTAGCCCATGTTGAGCTCTGCAGGATTGAAGCTACGTAGTCTATTACACTTTCAATCAGCCAGCATTATAGTTGTTATTTTTAGTAAAGATTTGTCTAAGCAATCAATTTATTTTGCCCTTTGGCAAAGAAGTTACTGTCAATGCTTGTCTTAGCGACGCTTGAATTGAACACAATAAAATAGTGAGACTATCCTGTCCTGAATTCTGTGAATTTTCATTCCCCAAATGCCCTTGTTAACATCTCTCTTGGCTTGCTAACCCCCAGGCACAGTATGTTCCAGGCTTTGGATGATTATGGCATGTTTTGTCTAGGTTATTAGATATTCCTCCTGGCTTTTTTTTTTTTTTAAAGCAGGCTATTGCATTAAGCAGAAGTTCAACAGGGATGGTGATGGAAGGCTTCGGAGCAGAAAATTAAGACAGGTCTGTGTGCTCAAGAATCCTTTATTTCTGCTCCTTATGTGCTTGGTCTTACATCAGCTGTCTTGGCATGGTACAATAGGCCAAGTCCTTTGGCTGTGGTTTTAAACACAACTAGCTCAACAGTCAGCATCAGTAGAAGGGAACAGCAACATTTCTAAACTTCATACAAATGGAAGGACTCTAAAATCTTTGTATTAAGTTCACCTCAGCAAGGATATTAGTTACCAGCCATTTACAAAAATATAGTATGATTTGTCTTCAGTCTTTCGTGAGCTGCTTTCATCTGCTTGGGATGTACTTACGAAAGGAATGAAGTTAGTGCCTCTGTGGAAACATTACAGGAGAACTTAATTTTCCCTTCTGCTGTTGCACCTATTGGTCTTTCCGCGCTAGCTTTGCTTTGGCATCCTGCAATAAAGGACAGGTTTGAAATGACCCATCAAGGTTTAGACTCTTCTGCTTGGAGCAGTAAGTGGATTTGTTACACAATATGCATTGTGTAACAAATGCAACTAAAGCTAGCTCCATAAAACCACCATTAATCCAGAATGCTGGTGGTGCTTCACGCTTTTCCAGAACATGAGATTCTCTTCTTGAGACACAAACTGTTTTATCTGGAAAATTACTTGCTCTCTGTTGCGTTGGCCATTACTTAAAGGGTTTATCTTTAGTCAGGTGACTACAGTACAGCAGCTTCCCTAAAAGCATGGGATACGTAGGGTACTCGTCAGCCACAGCAGGCTGCTCTCTACTGCGTGTTTTGTACTTAAATACCCTAGGAAGCCCAAGCTCATTGATACAGTCCACGCAAAGAAAATGGAAGGAGTATGAACGACTACACTGCAATAGCCTTTAGGCAGTCTCTGAGCAGTTTAGCTTTACAAGTAGGAACACTTCAGTTAGTTGCAAATGCTTCCCCAAGGGAATGACAATTATATTTAGCTTTGTCAGCAATTTTATTTTTCTTAAAAAGTCAGTATTTAAAAACAAGCGAAATAAGAGATTTCCCCTTGTGTACTGCCATAAGATTTCTGCTCCCCATACACCTCTTAGAGAAGTCTCTTGTCTGGTTTCAAGAAGAAAAAGGGTTGTGCTATGTGTACTGATCTTGGCTCCGTCCGCTGCTACGCAGTAGCCGCTGCCTGCCTTACACATGGTCTACGCTGCTCCATCACTTCAAGCAAGAACTCCCGCAGTCTGCATGCACACGCTGTGCGGGGAACCAACTTGCCTTATCCTCAGTAGACTAAGCCGTTCAGAAACACAGTTACTCACACCTGTTAGAGGCTGAAGCTTAGCAGAAATACTGCGATGCAGAGTAAGCTACTGGGTGGGTTAAAAAAAGCCCTGAGCAGGCAGACATGGAGATAAGGGGGGGATTTTTTTTTTTTCCTCCTTTCTTTAAACATCAAACAGGAAATGCAGTTGTACAATCACTTTTCAAGAAGTAATACAATGAGAATTAAATGTGGAGTGGAATAATAGAGAAGATGGGGGAGGAGAGGCAGAAACACTAAGAATTAAACCATTATTAAACAAAAATATGGTGTTTTGAAATGAAACACTGATATAAAAACTATAACCTCAACTGAAGCTCGACATTAATGCCCCCTGACTTCAACTTTCCGATTCCACACACACTTAAAACTCATGGGCATTTAGACCAACAGTCTTTCTATAGCTTGCTGGACAGACTGGATCTGAGGCTTTAGCTGTGATCCCTCCTTGATGGTGATGGAGCAGGCGATGACAGGCCGGGAAACACCACATGCCCGGCCCAGGGCTTGCTTGGAGCGCACAAACACGTAAGGTACATTCTTGTCCTCGCAGAGAAGAGGGAGGTGCAGGATGATCTCCAAGGGCTCCGCATCTGCCGCCATCACAATGAACTCCGCTATCCCTCGGTTCAGCGTTTTGGTGGCTGTAAAAGAAGCTGAAGAGTAAGTCTAGGTCCTTCTGGAAAGCACATCTAATGAAAAACAACATTAGGAGATGTTGAAATTGGCATGAGCAAGAGGGGGATCTAGTGGTAGCACAAGGACAGTCCGAAGGAAAGTGGCAGCCATAGGGCCAGGGAGGGGGTTATTCACAGGGTCGCAGCTGGGGTACTGTGCCCAGCGTTGCCCTCGGGCACAGCAGAGCTCCCTTCACAAAGGAGCGAGACCAGCCCAGGGCTGCTGACAGGTAGGGGGCTGGGGCGCACCACAGATGAGGGGAGACTGAGGGAGCTGGGTTTGTTTAGGCTGGGGAAGAGAGGGCTGAGGTGGGAGTGGGGGGGATGCGGCTGCTGTCTTTTACTACTTCAAGGGGATTGCAGAGAAGATGGAGCCAGACTGTCCTCCTGAGTGCACAGGAAAAAGGACGAGTTGCAGACTGTGACTGTTGCCTCAGGGAGATTCTGGGGACATGCCGGAATTTAACATCCCTTCCCCCCGATGAGAGGTGTTTAAGCCATGGAACATGGGTCCTAAGAGACTGTGGAGTTTCTATCCTTAGGGATTGGTTTTGGTTTTTTGGGGTTTTTGGGTTGGTTTTTTTTTGAAAAAGTTTGACTAGGCAAAGCCCTGAGCAACCTGATCCAACTGTGAAGGGAGCCACTCTCTGAGCAGGTTGCGCTAGGGACCTCCAGAGGTCCCCTCAAACCCAAATCTTTTTATGATTCTAAACTGGCTAGGCATCTGGTAATCTCAGTGCCACACCACTAAACCAGGAACACAATTTAGGCATCTACCAGAACTGTATATAAATGCTGAAGAGATTATAGCTTAGTTCTGTCCCTGAATATTGCTTAAGCAGGCTAGAAGGAGGAGGAAGGAGAGGGACACTCTCAGATCTATGTAATGTTAGTGGCCCACCGCTAGAGAGAAGAGACAATCTCTAGCCACAGCTTCTCACAAAATCCTTGCTATGATTTCTAGCACACTTCACAACACACAGGTCTCACCTTCATTGGCTCCCTTGCGTAGCTGCTTATAGTTGCAGGACTGCTGCACAAGATCCAGTAGCGTTTTGGTGAGCTGTGCATCAGCCAGGGGGTAAGCTTTGGGATTCACTTCTGCCTCACTCTAGAGAAAGGAAAAGGTGAAGAGTATTGCAAGAGGAGAAAAGGGGGCTTTGTTCCGAACAACACTACATAGGCATCATGTCCACTGCATATAGTGACTACTGGAGTCACCTCACCATTCTCAGTTGCTCTGCACGTACACTAAAAATCCCACTGCATTTCATTTACAAAGAGTTTCTTCTCATATTCAAAGTAGGCAGTATCTGCTCACGCAGACAGCCAATTCAGATCCTACCAACCAGCAGCAGTGAGCTCACAGGGCAGTCTTCAGGCATTTGCTACCACGCATACTATACAAAATAAAAGTGTTTCAGCGCACAAGGAACAAGCCCCTGCCAGCAGCAAATTAACAAGTTCAGGCATGAATTTTGAAGAAATCCCGAGAAGAGCACGTATCCGTTTTATTTCTGCAAATTACAAGTAGGTTCTAAATGCTGACATCAACGGCGTCACAAGCGGCATTAACGACCGGCACTGGCGGAGCGGCAACCTCTTCAGCCCCCGTCGCTGCAGCCAAGGCAGGCGCTCCCAGCGCCTGGCGGGGGGGACCCCTCGCCCTGATGCTCTGCCGCCTGCCCTCACACGCAGCTACAGCCCTGCCCCGGCCGCTCTCCCGCCAGCCGAGCACACGCTCCCGCTCCCCGCGGGGGCACAGCGGGGCCGGAGACGCGGTGCCGGGCCGGGAGTGCGGGTCCCCCGTCGCTAGGCGCC